TAAGTGTTTACATCACTGAGGTATTGCTTTGAAAATGGTTGTCTTTGGAAAGGCAACAAAAAGAAAAAAAAAATTAGGCTATGAGAGGCAGGCTGAAGGAGCTTACATGTATGTTAAAGTTAGCCAGAGGTACTGTAAGAATGTAAGCTGACCAGGTAGGTTAGTGATTGAGAAGGCATGAATTTTCATTCCTTGAGTCACTTTTGACAGATTATCAACCCCTTGCAGGTTATTTAAAGTCAGAATATATTTTGACATTGATAAGTGTGTGTGTGTGTGTGTGTGTGTATATATATATATATATATAGTTTTTAAAGTTAAAAGCTCTAGATGTTATTTTTACTTTTATTTTTTCACATGTGTATTGAGCACTTTTTAATATTACTGTTTCCTGGCCTGATTCAACTCTGACATATATATATATATATATATATAAATGTAAAAAAATGAAGAAAATATAGATTTAAGGTATGCTATATTTATGAGTTAAAGTACTCAATATCAGGGATAACGTGTATGTAAATATAAAAGTGGACATTGAAGTGAACAGACAGTTGCCTTGTGCGTGTATTTACGTCTGAGTTTTCTGGGAATCCATTCCTAGTTATACCAAGAATTTTTCAGCACCCCTTTGTATATGTTTATTTATCAGTTTATTTACAAATGCCAACATAAAATGCATACAACGGCAAGAAAGTATCTTCTTGACTCTTCTGCAATCATTTACTCCCCCCTAAATACACAATCCGCTGGGGAATAGCACACCTGACCCGACAACTGCTTCTTTTTCTTTTTAAATATTGTTAATGATTTTTGGTACTGTTTATACTGCAACCCCAACATTTCACCCTCTCTACCCTATGAGATCAGCAGCAAATCTTTCATTTCAATGATTCCACCCACTTTTCGCAACCCCTCAGCAGCAGAGGGTTGTAGTGCAATTTCCATGATGGCAGGGGAGTAGTACAAACTGAAGATCCTATTTGGAAAAGAAATATTTAAAAAAAAAATATACAGTACTATTTATAATGTGTGAGTTTTTATATATATATATATATATAGTACCGCATAACAAACTCGCATCAAAGTGATATGTATATTTTAGTTGGATTGATGTGAATTTGTTGCACGGCATTATATATATATATATATATATATATATATATATATATATATATATATATATATATATATATATATATATACACACACATTTTATATATATAAAAAAAACTCACATTTAGTTAGCTAAAATGGTCCTTTATTTAGCTCTTAATTATTTTTGATGCGTACTTAATAAATTTTTATCATTTTTTTTTTTTTTTTATTTAAATTACTTCAATTTTTTTTTTACATTGTTATTTCATTATATCAATGTGAAATATTAGCAATATTGTTATAAATTTTTTTCTTATTATCACCAATTTTTAATTGTGATGGTTATAATGCGATGATGATGGTTTTGCTGTTTAAAATGACTAGACAATTTCAATGTATCTATTTTGAATATGATCAGTCCCTTCCCCCACACTGTTTTTTAACTTGTCAAGTCCTGGAAGAAAAAGTCTTTTCTGAGTCACCTTATCTACTATGCTTAATTCACTCTTTCCTTCCTTTTCCTCTCTCATCTTCTTTCCCTCTCCTATCCCCATGTCTCACTTTCTCCCCAAAAATCTTATATTGAAATTTTTGTCTTTCTTCCCCCTTTTTTCTTTCTTCCTTTTTACATTAAAATTTTTCCCTTTTTCTTGTATCTGAATAAATTGAACTTCATTTATTACCACCTGACTTGATGGATTTTTTAGGATTCTGTATTCATTATTATATATATATATATATATATATATATATATATTATATAAAAGTGAACATAGAAGTCACTGTTATATTTACACACGCTCTCTCTGATATTGAGCACTTTATCCCATAAATATAGCACATCTTAAGAGTCTATTTCTTCACATATATATATGTGCGTGCGTGAATGAATGGTAGAACACAGGGCAGAGTGGTTAGAATGTTTGGTTTCTGACCATGAGGCCTGGGTTCAAATCTCACCATGGTCAATTTGTCAGGAAGGTGACTTCTTGATGTTATCAGCCTGGGGGAGATGATCTCACTGTGTCGTGCCTAAAAACCATACCATTGGTTGGCCCAAGCCTTGTGGGTGAAATTGGGTAGATGGCACTCTTTGGAGCTGTTGATAATTGTGTTAGCACAAAGTCACAAGTCATGATGACAGAGGGTTTGTGTGTGCTGGCTTTGTTCAGACTATCAATCATGTCAGGCAATGCACTCTCTCCCAGAAACTGTAACTAAAGCATGCTCAGCATAGTTGCAGTATAAAACACAGGTTGGCTCTGTGGGGGTTGAACAAGCAGAAATGTGCCTGAGCAGATGTTTGCAACAGGAATTGGCTAGTCACACCATTATATATCAATGATAGGATAAGGAACAAACAGCAAATATTTATAAATCTAACATGTTTCACTTTTATTAAAGCTTCATCAAAGAAAGAGAAAAAAAATTCTGGTATTTTTAATTTTTGTTGTCATACCAGAATTCTTTCTTTCTTTCATCTTATATACATATATATATGTAATCTGAAAAATTTCTTACAATCAACAATAACACATTTCTAAAAACATTTTTTCGGATTACCTCTATATTTTTGTTGTCCTGTTATTACCGAGAGGTAAAAAAAACAAAAACAAATCTATTTCCATACCTGAAGATGTCTGTAGGAACAGATGAAAGCTTGTAAAAAAACTAAAAAAGCCCTTATGCAACTGGAATTTATAAACAGGGATCATATCATTCATATACATGTTCGGGGTTAGTGTACTTTATTAAAATTGTTTGCGAAGATGTATTCTCGCCATTTAAATCATTAACTTCTCTATTTGTTTTTTGTATGAATGATTCATGTAATGTAAATTGAACTGCACCTTGTAATTGATTTTTTTTTTTATATATATATATATATAAGTTGTTGCTCAGAACAATGTCAGACCAGCTAATGGATATTTAAAAAAGTGCTCAGTATACAAATTCACAAAACTGAATGTGTGAAGCAGATATTTAAAAATAGGAGATTTACCAGTTATACTACACAGGTTTCAATCATAATGTTTCTTCAAATGGTATTGGCAAATTATATATGCATAAATAACTATGGATTGTTTATGTGCTTTAATAATGTTGACTATTTTTCTATTAATGTAAGATGAGGTGGGGAGTGGATAAACAAAATTTAGCTTTAGAAGACAATGCATTTTGCCAAGCATGAATGTTTATTGGACTCAAGTTTATCCCAGACATTGAACTGGAGAAATGGGTGATTCTCTCTACCACCCCACTTAGTACCTGACTCCACCCTGTTATTCTTTACCTTTACAAGAGCCAGATCAGACTGAAAAATAGAATACTGATACCTGCCATATCTGGAATGGAACCACCCAGTCCTCACTTTGCAGTCTTATACACTGTTTCCACCCTACAACTCTTTACCCACAGCTACGCTATGGCAAATGTTCTGACAAGCTGACATTGGTTAGTTCCACCAGTTCTGACCTTCACTACCAACACCCACCATGCTCCATACACTGGGTTAATATTCCACGAGTAAGGAGGAAGTGCTACTCCTTAAAAGTTGCTTTCTCAATAATTATAATTTTAACCTGTTCAAGTCTAGGGTTAGCCATTATCTTTCTCACATAACCTCATAAACTGAACTTCTTATCTCTTCCACTCATAGAACAACCTCATTCAGTAAACCTCTACTTCGAGTGGCTCTTGCGCCTTGCATTGAGTGAACATTATTAAAAAAAAAGATCAGGTATAAACGTCCACAAAATTTTACAGTTAAAATTGCAAGAGATAACCATAAGTTCTATGTTAACAGTTTCTTCTTTCTTGCTTGTCAAACTCTTCCAGCTTCTTGCTTCCCAGGCAACCTTAATCTTCAAAAATTTAAATGCAATGTCAATTGTTATATTCTATCTTAATTCCTGTTCTTTTATTGTCCTCCCTCTTAATAATTTTTTTTTTCTTATCTTCTTCAATAACCTTTTATGTCTTAGTGGCTTTATTGCCTTGCTAGGAGTGAAATGATTAAAAAAATAAAAATAAAATAATTGGAAAGGGGAAAGTTCTTTATAAAATGTGGCACCATTGTTTATGGTGTGGCTAGTAGACAGTTTTCTATTGTTATTAAATAATAAATTGAGTCATGCCGTAACTGACTACTGGTCTCATCATTTTAGAAGTGAATTGACTAGATTATCTGTAAGTTCTATGCTAAGAGTTTCTTCTCTTGCACTTCTCACTTGTGGAACTCTTCTGGCTTCTTGCTTTCTGGTAAACTTTGATTTTGAAAGATTTAAATCCAATGTCAATCGTTATCTTCAGTCTTCTTAATTCCTGTTCTTTTATTGTTTTCTCTCGTTAATAGCATTTTTGTTCCTCTTAATTTTTCTCACTTAATAACCCCTTGTGTCTTTATTGCCTTGCTTGGGGTTATATTTCCCTTGACATCAAACCAAGTGAAAATCTCCAAGAGGCTTGACATTCTTTATCTATTCTATTCAATAATAAAAAAAAAAAAAATCTATGTTTCGGAAATTAAAAATTCTTCACTCATCAGACGATGTTGGTAAGTTATCCAACATTGCCTGATGAGTGAACAATTTTTAAGTGTCAAAACATATAAAATATTTTACATCGCTACAAAAAAATTCTAATAAAAATATCATAATATTTTGCTCTACATTGTATCAAGCATGTTTTTTAAAAAGAGTAAATGATAAGAATGGTGTATTCTTAATCTGTCTGTTCTTTCTCTTTGTTTGAGATATATATATATATATATATATATATATATATATATATATATATATATATATTCTCCTTATCTGGGCCATTTGTTTTTACATGAACAATTTTGTAGCACTTAAAATACAAAAAAAATCAAAATCATTGACATTATCTTAAAAACTTACCAATTCAATTTCGGTCGTTTTGGATTTTACTGTTGTTGCTAGATCCTTTGCCGTCCCACAACTGTGACTCCTCCTCAGAGGCCGTGGTATCATCCGATGGAAGAAATGCCGTTTATGTTCTTTTTTACACCCATCAGCACACTTGTCCCTTTTGGAAACCTGCTGGTGCGGACTGTCGGATGAATCCGGGTCATCCGAACAAGAGTCGGCGAAATGGGCACAGTACCCTGACCCTGTACAAGACGTGATGTTGGAAGTGGCGGTGCTAGTCGTATAGACGACGTTCTGACAAGAATGTGGCCGGTTCGATGACGAGAAGCCCTCGTCCAGAACAGAGTCCACAGAGATCTCAACTGAATCCTCGTAATTAGAGCTGCGTGTTTTGTGCTCTTTGCTGGTTTTGATGAACGTCCGACTTTTGCTTTTTTTCGTCTTTTCGTGACACAAGCAGCCGTCTGATCCTAGCTGACTATCATAAGGGGCCACTATCCGACTGCGCAAGTTTGAAGGGGAACCAATGTGACACTTTTCGTGCACATCTGTTGATAGACTGTCGGCTGAGTGAAATGTTGAAGTGGTGTGTGTAGTGACCTGTTGATGGTGAGATGATGTCGACCAGCTGGATGAAGTCGATGTGGTTTTGTTGGTGTATAGCTGTGGGTTGGTTAGTTGCTTGATGAAGTATTCCAAATCGTTTTCTGTCCAGCCTCGAGAGCCTGAGGAAGAATCCTCTAGGTGGACTCCCTGTGGAGGAGAAAGAAAACAGAAAATCAATATAGAATATATAACAGGATCATCATTTCTGGTCAAACAGTTAAAGATATGACAATATTGATCAGATGACGCAGTCACTGCTTCCTTTAATATTTGTACCCTTATGTAATGCCATCTAGGTTTTTTTTTTTTTTTTTTTTTTTTGGTAGAATTAGAATTGCTATACAACATTATGCTTTATTTTGGTAAATACCTTGGATATTTGAACCCTTACATAATGTTTTTCATCATTACCATTAGAAATTGCTATATAAGACTATAGGCGTGGTGGGGTAATGGATAGTGGCTCGGATTAAGGAATCAGACAGCCGAGTTCTAATTCCAGTCGAATCCATTACATTCACTTACGTGCTAATACCCTTGGGAAAGGTATGAATCCACTTCTTCTCCCCTGATTTATTTATTATAATTTATAATAAAAAGGAGGCACCGTGGAGTAATGGATAGCCGCTCGGATTGAGGAATCAGAGAGCAGAGTTCGAATTTCAGTCGAATCCTTTACATTCACTTACGTGCTAATACCCTTGGGAAAGGCATGAACCCACTTTTTCTACCCCCAGCTATGGGTAAATAACAGGACAGACCAAGTTCTATAGCTTTGGATGGAAACTGGTCTGCCATAAAAAGAAATGGCAATCTACTGCAGGAAAAAATCTGGGTAAATAGCAGGACAAGCTGGGTTCTATAACTTTGGATGGCAACTGGTCTACTGTAAAAAGAAATGGCAACCTACTGCGGGGGAAAAATACATGATCATCTTAGCGTGTATCATACATGGCATATAACTGACTGATATAAGACTACTTTTGTTTTATTTTGGTAAATAAAAAATAAATTAACATTTTTTTTTAACAAATAGGTTAATGTGCATTTTTGATGCTAACTTTGTAGTTTTCGTCCCCTATATACAAAATGCATATGTCCATCATGTCATGGAGCAGGTATGGTAAGTTAAAATTTGGGATTACCAACAAGTCCTGTTATTCAAGTGTTGACCAACTGAAATATGTCAAAAGCAATAAAATAAAGATAAATGATAGTTGCAGCGATGTGGAGGCTTCAACTTCAAATTTCAAACTATTCTAGATGATTTTAGAAGTGAATGATTTAAACATTAACAAGTGTTATATAGGAATAAAGTGTCACAAACATTAACAAGTGTTATATAGGAATAAAGTGTCACTGCCAACACTTCAGTTTGAACATAGATCACCAATGAGTAAACACAGACAATCCCATTATTGAATTGACCACATGACCATAGAGGAAATGCATAAGTAGGAATTAGTTGTCTAATTGAACATCATTTCTAGTCTATCCTCTATTACTATACAACTGCTATTCTCTATACTATTCACTATACTATTTCTCTACTCAGATCACTATACACTGGTTACTTTTGAGTGAATATTATCGAGCAAGTAAAATTTGAAGGTGTCCGACACCAGCATTGTTCAATGGCTTTACTACAGTTGTATCTGTGATTACAAAGTCTCTACTACAACGGGAATTACAAAAGTGACAATGAGTATTCGTTGACATCACAAAAATAATATTTTTTTGGTTTTATGCTATATCTTTTCAGATTTCATCATAGATGATTTGTTAAAATGGTGACTTGATAATATTGGCCTTGAGGAGACAATCTCAACAGACAACACCACTAAGAAATGTCCGAAAATTACACTTCGGATTGATGCAAGCCATGCTAGCACAAAGTCACAAGTCATTGTAACGAAGAGTTTGAGTTCCAGAGACTATACTAAGGGTTTGTTTTGACCATGCTTTTAGTATTTGATTATGAATCATTAGAAGGAAATGAAATTTTGGATAGTTTCATTTCTCTTCCATATGAGAGACACGGAAGGAATGTGGATTTGTTTCATAAATCCTAGCCATAATATTCCAGGGTTCCATAAAGAGCTAGTATTCAAATCATTTTCTAATACATTCCTATAGTAAAATCATTTTTTATAGATGCTTTAGTATTTGCTATATCACTAGATATGGAATCATTAGAAGGAATGAAAGTTTGGATATTTGTTTCATAAATCCTAGCCATAATATTCCAGGTTCCATAAAAGAGCTAGTATTCAAATCATTTCTAATACATTCTATAGTAAAATCATTTGCAATGAATTTCTATAGATGCTTTTAGTATTTGCTATATCACTAGATATGGAATCATTAGAAGGAATGAAATTTTTGGATGGATTTGTTTCATAAATCCCCTAGCCATAATATTGATTAAATGAATTTCTATTTTAGTATTTGCTATATCACTAGATATGGAATCATTAGAAGGAATGAAAGATGGATTTGTTTCATAAATCCTAGGATAATATTCCAGGTTTGAGCTAGTATTCAAATCATTTCTAATGCATTCCTATAGTAAAATCATTTGCAATGAATTTCTATAGATGAAAAACACACTAGATGTTAGAAGGAATGAAATGAATTTCTATAGATGGATTTTTGCATAAATCATTAGAAGGAATGAAATTTTGGATATTCCAGGTTTTAGTATTCAAATCATTTTACATTCCTATAGTAAAATCATTTGCAATGAATTTCTATATATGCTTTTAGTATTTGCTATATCACTAGATATGGAATCATTAGAAGGAATGAAATTTTGGATGGATTTGTTTCATAAATCCTAGCCATAATATTCCAGGTTCCATAAAGAGCTAGTATTCAAATCATTTCTAATACATTCCTATAGTAAAATCATTTGCAATGAATTTCTATAGATGCTTTTAGTATTTGCTATATCACTAGATATGGAATCATTAGAGGGAATGAAAGTTTGGATGGATTTGTTTCATAAATCCTAGCCATAATATTCCAGGTTCCATAAAGAGCTAGTATTCAAATCATTTCTAATGCATTCCTATAGTAAAATCATTTGCAATGAATTTCTATAGATGCTTTTAGTATTTGCTATATCACTAGATATGGAATCATTAGAGGGAATGAAAGTTTGGATGGATTTGTTTCAGGTTCCATAATATTCAAATCATTTCTAATAAATCCATTTAGCTATAATATTCTATATTCAAGTTCCATAAAGAGCTAGTATTCAAATCATTTTTGCATTCCAATTTGAAGAATTTCTATAAATTATTATCCACTGTGGAATCATTACAGGTGAAAGTTTAATTTGTTTCAAGACTAGCCATAATATTCCAGGTTCCATAAAAGCTAGTATTCAAATCATTTCTAATGCATTCCTATAGTAAAACCACTATAGATATGCTTTTAGTATTTGCTATATCACTAGATATGGAGAAAGAATGAAATTTTGGAGACGAACTACATTCCAGGTCCCATCAAAAACATGCCATGCCAATGAATGCATATAGCTTTTCAAAACCACCCACATTGTTAGATAGGCTTTTTAATATTTTATTGGTGAGAAGCTAGTATTCCCACAATCTATAGTAAAACAGCCCATTAGAGGGAATGAAAGTTTGGATGGATTTGTTTCATAAATAATAATTTGGAATCATTTCTAATAATATTCCAAGGGATTAGTTTCTATATCACTAGATTCCAATGAGAAATTTTGGAATTTGTTTACACTCAGGTTCCATAAAGAGCTAGTATTTTAACCTGTTCAAGGTTAGGTTAACCATGCATTTATCTTCCATTCATACATGCACAAATGGAATTTCTATATGCTTTTCCTAATATAGTTTTTGGATTACATAAATCCTAGCCATAATTGAGGACCCTGGGCCTGGGCCTTGTGAAGGTTGAACTTTACTGAAAAAAAAAAAAAAATCATTTCCAACAAATTTCTATTGATGCTTTCAGAGGGTCATAGCACTTCAATGTAGTGTAATGGTTAACAGGCTTATATCGTTAGATCAATTATAACTGAATAGAGAGTTCAATCTTTACTGGGTGCCTCATAATTTTGGCCTTGTGCCACATCTAAGCTATGCTTAGAAAACTCCCATAGTACTTTGACACCTGTTTCATAGTGGTTATGGAAACTGGCTGATTTTTGTCCTTGATGTATATGTCTGCTGACCTGAGATGGAACAATTGCATTGAATCAATAGCTTCATCTACTGCAAGGATACTTGGTTCCCTGTGTCATGCCAGAAAGTTTTTCTCGCCAGAGTACATCCTTCAAATCTATAAATCAACCATTCCCCCTTGCATGGAATACTGCTGTCATATATGGTCTGCAGACCCTGGTATTTGTCTTAAGGTCCTCAACAAAATCCAGAAGCGGATATGCAATATGGTTGACCCTGATCTGGCATCTTGTTTACAGTCGCTCTCTCACAGATGCATCATCGCCTCCCTCTGTCTTTCCTACAAATATTTTCCTGGTAACTGCTTCAACGAGCTACTTTCGCTAGTTCCAGAACTGTATGAATTTAAATGGGCCACTCGATTGGCATCCCAGTTCCACCCTTTCACTGTTAAAACAGTTAAATGTAACTGTCTCTTCTACTCCAAAAGCTTCATATCTCTGACTTCCCATCTGTGGAACTCTCTTACTTGATTCCCTGATAGCTATAATCTCCACCTATTGAAATGCAATGTCAATCAACATCTCCAGATGCCTTGATCTATTATTCCCCATCCTTTTCTTCATCTTTTCCTCTATTATGTCTCTTTACACTTACTCCCACACTCTTTGTAACCCCTTGCATACTAGTGGCACTCCCGCCTTGCTTGGGGTGAAAAGCTTTAAAAAAAAAAAAAATATATATATATATATGTGTGTGTGTGTGTTTATGTATGTATATAGGCACCGCACATCACATACTATCACAGAGAAGTGTGGGAGAGGGTAGTTAATCACAGGTACTAGAGATTGTTAATTATTGCACAACTAAAGTAAACAAGCAGAGGAGGGCATGGATCAATATGTTTATAATCTGGCATGATATTTGCTGAATTTTGACATGATATTCCTACTGTATAATGTTTCATTGATACAATAAATATCCTTCACTGAATGAAGTTCTTTGACAAAGGAGATTCAAGTTTAATAAATGTTTCTTG